GGAGAGCCATGCTTCGGCACGAATAGGCCGGCTTGACCGGAGTGATACCACGGCCCCACAGAAAACCGATGTAAAACAACGCTTCCGCTGTGTTTCGTTGTATGAGTTAGGTTACCGGAGGCCCAATTACCCATCCCCCAACTCCCGAATCCCTAAATCCCCAACGATCCACAAATTCTTAATCCCTAAAAGACCGGTAACGCATCTAATGTCCATGAGTGACGCCGATTGCTTACCATCAGGTAATCCATCTGCTCGTTTATCGGATTATCACATAAACAAAAGTCCAATTACAATATTTTTAGGCGCATAATAAAATAATTCTTTTTACATTTGTATAAACAAACAATTTATTAACTTAGAGCCCGTAGATTACTAAACAAATACATTGTTTGACTAATGAATAACTAATGATATCTGAAACAGAAACTGTTTAATACAAGTTTTTTTTGTGCACGCCATTGTCATTTCTTACAATGTTTTCTATCACATTCATACAATATCACTAACGCCATCTCTATCCAAAAACAAAAGACAAATCAAGCATAATAAACAAAACAAAATCTGCACCATAAACCATCAATTGCGACCAAATCGGTCCTGCATTGACTTCTCTTGGCTCAAATCCAGAAGTCAATTATTCGATACGAAGTGAGTAACTTCGGCAATTATTTCTCATTGCAAGAACACCTTAACGAGTGCTCAGGTGTTGAAGTGACTCTTGAAGCTGGAGGCGCAGTTTTTGGCGCTGGTTTCCCTCTCCAATTTATAGTGAACTGCTCGGGTGATTAACGCGGAACTGAAGTGCTGCAGATGTTTATTGTTTTATGTAAGGGTTGGTGTTTTCTGGATTATGGTGAAGGAAGTAAGGAAGTAAACAGAAATTCGTAAATAGATTGAACTTATATTAAGGTTGTTTTACCTTATAACATGACTATTTAGAGGCTCACCTTAACTTCTGTAGTACATACTATAGAACAACTCGTGGCCACATGAGTGTCAATATTCTGATTCTTAGAATTACAACTTATAAACAAGATTGGATTCAACAAAATAAAACACATCTTCGAGACCTGTTTCATCATCATCAACTACAAGACGTCCGCTGCATAGTCCTCCCCAAAATAGGTAATAACTACGCTAACTTAATATTAGTCAAATTTTTACTGCTTGTATTTAGTTAATAATAATATGAAAAGTAATTAATTTTTATCTTCACAAATAACTACCAATAAGTTCCCAAAGCCTTCACAAAGCAATATATTCAAAACAAAGCAAGTTACTAATCCATAGGCCGGGTCCACAACATTATTTGATCTCATTAATTAAGTGGGCTCAATACCCCTCGTGTCAAAGCAAGTTGGGAGATTGCTAACTTGCAAATATAAAGTCAACAGCACGTCAACATATACCAACCTGTCAAAATCCATTAAGCCATTTTAAACGTAAGTGCCATAATGATAAAGTTGAGATTTGTTGAGAAGGTTTCATGGGATGGGTTAGTTTCATGTGCAGCCGTCTACTTGCAAGTCCAAGATTTAGTGCGGACGGCTCGCCACGTGTCGGTAATGTCTGTTACTTGCCACCAACTTTACTACTTGTATAAATTATAAACACGATGAGCTTGTGGTCTGATTTTGACAGTTTCGTGGTACTACTGAATAGTTTTAAGTCGAGAGCGGTTACTGCAACTTCCAATGTTGTGCTGAATGTTCTGGATCTCTGCTTTGTTATGTTTACATTTAATTTATGTGTTTTTGATTTGAAACTTTACATATTACTGTTTTTTGGTTTTAGCAAGCACTAGCTACATCCCCACGGTTTCACACGCTCTGCTCAACTCTTATTGGTCGTAGCGTGGTGTTTTATAGCCTATAGCCATCCTCGATAAATGCGCTATCCAACACAAAAATAATAATTCAAATAAGACTTGTAGTTACGGAGATTAGCGCGTACAAACAAACAAACAAAAAAAACAAACTCTTCCGCTTTATATAATAGTATTAATAAGAAGTATAAGATATGAAAGCAGGTTGGTCTCTAAAACGTTTTAAAATATTTTTAATCCAAAGTTGAATTGAAATAATTTTTAACCAAGTACCTAGACAAATACCAATATCACCGAAGCGATTCCATTTCTATAATCTCATTTCGTCACTTGTTTGGAATCTAACGTCAAAATGTCAATCCCATACATTTTGATTAAAGATATGAAGCTATCACTTACATCAACAGACGGTACGAAAGGTCAATCGAATGCCAAACTAAAAAAGTCTCAATTTTCTCGCAGTATACGAAAAACTATCTATATTATTAAAACACATTGTTCAAGTAGAAAATATTTATAAATGTATGTACAACTCTTTGATAATAATACACCCTATATTTAACGGAAATAACAATTAATCACCAGCCTTAAGATAAAACCAGGAACTACTGAAAACGGAAGCTAATTACTGAAAACATCTGAACAATTTATTTCAGTTCATGAATCATTATAATGACTGCATACGATACTCGTACTTGGAAAACAGGACAAGCTGCTTATCAGTAGCTGATAAGGAATTCTTTAAACAGGCCCTTTTATTTTAGGTTAGGCGCGATATCACACTGTAATCAATATCACGAATTAAGTATTTCAGGTGCTCGGAGTTACTATGAATACTCATACTCATGTGTTTGTAATTCAATTTGTTTTCGGTATTATAATCTTTATAATTTGTGCATAATCCAAGGATATAAAATTGTACTTTTTTGTATTCTAAAAAGTCGTGCGTTTCTAAAAAGTATTTTTTTTTATATCATTCGCCCTAGATATATTATTCAAGACGCCCTAGACGTACCTACATATAGTGACCAGATTGGCGATATATTAAAGAGGGGCCAAATTAAAAGTACCCTTGACCGACGAGCATGCATGAAAAGATTGATGACTGTTAATGAAGGAAAAAAGTATGTAGGAATCGTAGTAATTTGCGTTCCCTAGTCTCTGCCTACCCCATTGGGAGATATTATTCACATTTTTTATAGCTTACCGAAGCTAGCATATGGCCCAACTTACAAAATAATATTTTATTTTAGGACCTAATGGATTTTATACACAGGCATATAAATAAATATACAGCGTTCACTCTCTTTTAACCTTAATACACATTCGCTACGTGGCACATTCCTACTTGAAGCACCAAATACACCATTAATTAATGAAATACATAAAGAAATCCTAACAAACATAAATAGATCTAACACTTTCTATCTATTTGAATTATACATTACATCACAATCAGCAAATCTTTGCAGGAACCTAACTAGAACTACCTGTAACTAATCATCAAAAGACCCTAATGAACAAAAATTACTTCATCAGCTAGGTATACAGACTTCGTTAGTCTCAGATTACTACTCTCTTAGTTCTAAGTATAAGCTTTAATAAGGACACTGAATATCTAATATTTTAATAAAAACCTTTTAGACGCCTCATAAGAGAAGAAATAGGGCAACATCAAGGACAAAATGGCGACACTTGTGGGTCACTAATTCGTGTATAATTCATTGTCTGACGACCTTCATCTACTTTGTTGTTTTAGTACATTGTGAATAGAAAGCTAAATATAGGAATAGATGATTATTACGTCATAGCTGTTATTTTGTGAATGGTATATTCAGTAAACGTCCACTTTTAAGTGGCCTTTTTATTGAATATATTGTAGTTTACTCATTGCTGTAAATAGCTGTAACTGATAATGGTTACTTACACTATCATTAGAACTAAGAATGGAATATTTGTCATACGTACGAACATATATATCAAGCATACGTGATACATGACTACGAAAGAAACAGGAAATTGTTTCTTATTGCAGATAGTTTAAGAATTTTAATAGAATAAATCTAACCGTGTTCTGAGTATCGTAATTATCAATCCAAGGAGAGATAGAAACCGAATTTGGTCTTATGTTTATAACACAAGTACAACATCGTTCAAGTTCTTTGTTAATAAAAGGCAGTCATAACCTAAAAATATAGCGTACCTACATTTCGACGAATTGATACAGAATTTCAGATAAAGAAGATAAGTGCTGGCCTCTGTATTTATTTAAAGGTTGATTGGATAATACAAAATGTATTTGTTTTATTAATTGATTTCTTTTGTTAATAACAATATTTATGTTTTCCGTGTGAGAAGATTTCTGCTGCTTCTCATCAGTAGAACAATTACATGCTAGTAATTAATGACGATGATGTGATTATAATATTGATCTGTTAGATAAATACCAAGAGCCTTCTTGTTAGTCTCGTATAAACAAGAAAGTATAGGTAATGTTATTATAATGCCTAATGTTGGTATGTATTCAATATCTTTCACTAATCGGTATATACCTACACCTAATCTCCGTAATGACAATTTTACGTAAATGATAAGGAAATTCATCTAAACATTTGTATCAGAATTATAATATATAAAGTTCAATAGTTATCCTCATTATCAATACATTGTGACATCAGTTCCTACTACCATAAATTAGAAGTGAAACAACTATGTTAGTAATTATAAGTTATCGCGTGTAGCTCCACAAAATATGTGAGTCATAAAGCCCTGTTTACACATTACTAAACGACTGCATGATAAATGTCTACTGGCAATACTGAACTAGCACGTCGCGTGCTAATCGTCCGCTAACGAAGTGACTAAAACGTATAATTGAATGATAAATATACATTCCCTTTAACCAAAAAGCTAATTCTCACTATAAACAAAACTATTTCACAATACCGATTTTCGGAATTCGAAAACCATTAGTAAATTCATACGTTATGACTCATAAAGCCTATCAGAGCACGCTAGCTCACTAAACAAACGCGACACGAAATAAAATAATGTAATCCCATTCTAATCTTAACGAACTATTAACGTAACGACACCCAAAGTAATTTCCAAGCACGAATATAGAAAATAAAACTGAAATACGGACAACGTTTTCAATTTGCGCAATACTCACCCACAATACGACGTTGAAGCAAAACAGTGTGTATTTTATACAATAGATCTGCGATTCCAGTTTGCCCACTCCTGGGCCTCTCCCCTCGCCCCTGCCAGCTCCAGCCATTTCACTTCAAAAACACTTAACACCACAAACAAATTTATTTGTGAACACTAAAACAGTGTTGTCTATCCACCGGCTCGATCCAATCGTAACTGCTAACTTATCAAAGCAGATAAGCGTTAGCTAGGTTATCTATGTTTGCTAAGATAAAAACGTACGAAAAGAATATGGTATGAATTGCCACACCTGTATTGTTCAGCATGCAAGCGTTCGTCATTGTCAGTTGGCTAAGCAAATTTGTACTTTGTAGTCATAGCACAATATAGAATCCCTCTTTTCTTTTCTATCTCCTCGGCTTCAATTTTCTTCCAAGTGGCAATATGTAGTCAAAATCTAGTAGATGAATAGGCATTTTTTTTCTTGAATAAATAACCGTCTTTCTATATTCATATGAGAGAACGATCTCGGTCATTTGAATATTCTTATTGTATCCTCATTCGTAGCGATTCTTTCCTTGGCGGTAATTTTATAAGGGTACCCGACCACGCTTATATATCAAGTCCACCGATATGGGATTCGACCGAAACGTGTTCGAAATCCGATAAACGGATTCAAACTATATACGAAATGGAAGCGGCCGGTATAAGCTGTAAACATAAATAAGGAAGATCTACTACGTTTTAGAAAACCCCCACGCACGGAACGTTCCCCGTAAATCTTACACTTGCAATGATATAAATTTAAGCATTCTCGTACTCCATTCTATAAGTACGACTTCCGAAACTACTTTCCAGGACATTCACATGAAAAGGGTGACAAAAGTGAAAATTCTGCCATCGTCTGCTGTACAATATTCAGTGGAGATGTAACTTCTTTGTTTAAAGAATGTCATAAAATAAATTTTATTTTAGAAGCAAAAAACAAAATCCGGTTTGGCATATTATTTGGCTGAGAGACAAAATTTAAATTGAGAAAACATTTTCTTTTTCTTTTATTTCGGAAGGTCTCACCGTCAATCTCATTTATATGGGAATGCGAAACAAAACCTTAGTTCTGTTAATGTTAATGAAAAGACACAGTTTTCTCATAAAATAAAAATACTAAAGTAAAAATTCGATGCTGCAAAACTTAAAAATTCGGAAAAATATAAAACGGAAACGGAGAGTAAAATTAACAATTCTTTGACAGCATTCAAAGTCGCTATAAAACAAAAGATAGCAAAAATTTTAAGCAGTAATAAAATTGAAATTTGTACAACAGGAAATTACTAAAATAAGCATTTCATTTTATTTTTAACAATAAATACGTTTAAAGCTGACTGATTCTATAAAGTTTCCGAACTTATATTGCATCAACAAATGCATGCTAACCGTAAAAATAATAAAAACTTGTCGAACATAAATTAGACAAAGGAAACTAGACTAAAGCATCACTAATTTCATTTTTCAACATGTTATCCCCAAAATTCAACCTTATAGTCCATTAAGATAAAAGCGCACATCCTAATGTATTACCTTCAGCATTTTGTAAAATAAGTTTTCACCACAACGCCGCGATGAATATTGAAAATCGTCTGATCCTAGGTAACCTGAGCCAAATCGCTTTTCAATGAGACTTGCACGCAAACTTTTTCTTTCCAATATTTGGCAGTGAAAATGCTTTTAGGAACGAAGTAATACCATAACGGTGATATAAAAATACTATTCTTAACCGTAATGATCATTTGTCTGTCTGTTGTTTACACGACCGCGAGGAAACACGAAATTCTCACTTTTCCTTTCGGGACTGGGATCCATTTCCTCGCCATAACAACGAACGTCGCGGCGGAAGGCGCCCGTAGCTTATATGAATTCTCCTACAGCGACATAATACACGCCAACCAACCTAACTATGACTTCCCCACCCCCTCGTGTTAAAGATCTACAGACGTCAAAAGAGACTCATCACCAGTCTCGGAAGCTCTAGTTAAAGTTGACGTATCTGTAAAGAAACATTTAGAAGTGAACTGTTATCGGCTCATTTGTTACAGTAATAAGTTGTGATCCTTCGACGTTTGATAGGTTTCTTATTGTAGGAAATGTCAATATCTGACGTGAATATGTTCTAGCGACTTTGTAGTACAAATCTGTACCAAATGAAATAATAAAATGTCTCATATATTTCCCTTACAGTAGCGCAATCATGTTACATTTTGTGACAATGTCCTTTATAACAATATAGGTACTTGTGACGCTGGTTAATGAAGATTAAACCTTTCCTGTGTAATACTTCTCTAATGAGGGTATAAAAGAATTAAAAACGTAAATTATAAATTGGGAGCGATCAGGGAACTGTCCAAAGTAATGTAATTAATATTAATCTGTGTTCATATCCCTTTAAAAAATAAAACTGACATGTTTTGGTTCCTTTAATCGTCAGGACAACCCTTTTTTGAAGTTCTTTTGCTACAAAATATAATAATATGGTTTGAAACCGTGCCAGTATTAATTTTTAAGTGTTATAAAATTATTATGATGTAGTTACGTTTTTAATTTTGAAATTAATTTAAAAACGTCAGAAATAAAATATACATTTCTAAATGTGTTTGAATAATATGAAAATAAGAAACGTCATGTAATAAAATCAGAAACATAATATGTAAAAGTTGATAGTTGAATGAAAAGTTTATGCCCGTATTTGATTCAGCTGAAGCCCGGAGAAATGTGTCAAAGAACTAATAGACATTGAATCGAGCACATTCTTCCACACGTTCGGACAAGGGCTAATATCCGGTGAGGAATGTTTATAGTCAACAAACATGGACTTAGTGCAAACAGATCCGACCCGTGAACCCTCAGCGTAACTTCCCCTAATTGTTTGCTATCCACCAACTTTGTTACAAATGGTTGCTGATATTCGCTTTACGAGTAATCTACGTTGAACGCAAGAGCCAAATTAAATTATGTTTCCGTCTACAAAGAGAATAAAATGTAAGAAATTATTATTATAACTTAGTTTTATGGAGGCTTATATGAATAGTACTGTTACTTCATCGTAAAAATTTAGCTGTGAAAATTTTGACACTGATATTCGAAAGAACTTTTCCAATTTGAAATAAAAAATGCTCACAAAGGTATGATACCAATTTGATTTCAAAATCGACTTTGTCATACCTAGCAATTTGAAAGTTCGATTTAATATCTGAATTCGATCGTGTATAAGAACAGTGAACTTGAGGACCAAACTGGAGGACTATAAACTTTTGGAATATATTACACCTAAACGCAAGATCCCGACTAGGAATTGATTCACAGATTTTATTCAAACTAATCGGATTCGTATTACGAACGATTTTGCAAATTCTGAAGAAACGAATTCAAAGCCACCGCGGGACGGTTCCATTGAAATTAATACTTCGGTTAAACAGATTACCATTTTCTACGTACTTCCTGTGAAGAATATCTCAGTTGGAAATGGTGAACCGTCTTAAATTTCAATTTCTCTTAGTAAATTGAGCCGCAGCAAAACGTTGATATCTACATAAGTAATCTTGCTCATCTTATTTTTGCGGAACACTCGATTTTTCATCGCACTGCGTTCTGAGGTAAAAAAAAAATTGAATTCATTTTAACATTATGATTGCTTTACGGGATTTAAAAATATTGCCGAGACATGTGTCTTTATTAATTTCTTGCTTACGATGGCTGCTTACAGACCAGTCTCTAAGCTGCAAACACACACAACTATGTAAAAATTGATTTTAACATAGGCGTGTGTTTCATATTTTTTGATCAAGATGATGTTTAAACGTTGACGTTATCATTTTATAGCAAAACTAAAGTTAATAAGTTAGATCTAATAGTTTTCTTTAGATAAATCTTTCGTATGGTACGCCTCAATTATGCTAAAAGATAAGTTGGAATCACCAATTATCGTTTTGCCACGAAAAACTAATTATCACTTTAATTGACTTTTGAATATACGGTTGGTGCGGTGGCTTGGCAACTGTCTGCCGCGCAACTTGTCGCGGGTTCGATTCCCGCACGGAACATCTCTTTGTGCGACCATCCACAGATTGTTGTTGTTGGTCTGGGTGTCATGTGTATGTGAACATGTATGATTGGGACAACGTTTTTAAAACAAATCAAACAATATTGTTTACTGTTGTGTGTCAATTAAGTCGTTTTTAGAATAACAATAATATGTTCATCATAGGAAGCTTATTGGAACGTTGACGATCATAATTACTCGATGCATCCGCATTGCACCGGCAGCTCATATCCGTCGCAACAGCAGGCGCAGCCTGTCACCGGCTGTCATTAGATTTGTTATTAATAACATTTCCTTTAGTTTTATTTTACCCATTGAAACATATAACGTGTGACGGATAATGAGCAAGACAGGTGAGTAGATAAATGTAGACGATTTTATTTTCATCAAAATTTTTTTCTGGAGATAAAACATCGCTAGCTGATATTTATATCCATCCATCAAATAAGACATTTTATTTCCAACTCCTATCCAATTTTAGATCCCACAAAATCCAGATTATTTTAAGAACCTGATTAGTTCAACAAAATTCAAAGTCCATCAAATTGTAACGAGAAAAAGATTTCTTATTGAATGCTCAGTCGGCTTCCATTTTATTGGTTCGTACGTCATCAAGTGGGCTCATATAAAACCGAATGCTCCATCCAATTAGCTTGGAACATCGAATGCTCAACCCAGAACCCACTAGTACCAATATCCGGTATTGAATGATCTAAGGATTGCCAAGTGGCCTACTATGTAAATGCTAGTGAATGATGGAAACCCGACTTATTTATGGGAAATAAATATACCCTCGTCTACGAGAGAATCCTTTTAAACGGAATCAAATTATAGCTTCGAATGTGTTTGTGAGGTTTTTGTGGGATGTTCATTTTAGTTTTTCCTGTTTTTGTTGTGTTTGTTCCTGTGGAGCCTTTGTGGGTTTTTAGTCACTTTGCAAAAACAATTTGAACATGTTAAGCAATAAGTCCCAAAGAAGTAGTTATGACAGATTTTTTAATTGATTAATGAGTAAACATGATTCTAAATTGAAT